TTGCACCTTACACTTTGGAATTTCATTAAATGCAGTATTTATATTTCTAAATTTTTAAACCAACCATTGTTATTGTGATACTATAAAGATTTATTAACTTTTAACGCTTAAACATAAGCGGTAACACTATAAATATTATTTCTTTCATTGACTATACTTTGACAGATACATAACCTGAAAAGCCTTAAATGCCAAAATTTCAAAAGGCTGCGTTCCGTACGTGGTCACGTGGTGGGACTTTGAGGTGTGGAGCATAGTACAAGCAGAAAAATTCAAAATTTCAAGTCCAATATCCCGGAGCATTCGCCATTTTTTTCAATTTATTACTTGGTTGGTGACTGTTATTTCAGTTGTTTTTTTGGCACGCCACTGCCTTTGCACGCACGCTAAATCCCCCATTTAAAGACTGGCGTGGATTTAAGAGTTCGGTCACGTGACCCGAAAATATTTCACCGATTTGGCTTAACGTTCTCTCCTTGCCTCTCTCGTGAGCCGCCGGTCGTAAAACAACAAAAAATTAGGTAAAAATCGAAGATTTACGAGATCCGCAAAAATCACATTTTTGTTAATCATAGATATAATTATATAATGAAAAGAGTAAACCTGAATTTGTACACTCAGAAATTTTTTTAATAAATATAACAAAAAAAGTAGTTTGTCTTAATAAAGTAAAGATCCCTATTCGTCCAACAATTGCTTTTGTTACGGCAAAAAGATCATTTGTCCAAAAAAACAGTTCTATACCGTTTACGAAAACTTTTTGTAGTATTAATAAAACCCTAATGGTATTATTCATATAAATTTTGTAATTTTACAAATCCATTTTCGTTTAAAATAAAACTTTTTTTATAATATTAATAAAATTTAACAACAAATTAATTGTTAATTCAATAAACTATTTCCATTGTAACAATGGTCACATTTTCAACCTACTGTTGGGTATTGGGTAGTTTTTTTTTTAAATAATTGCAAGGCATTAAAACAAATTATTTATTAACTCATTATATGATGTACAAAATAAAAAAAATATGAACTCACTTTTTAAACAACAAGTCTGCTTCGTTTATAGAATAGATCTTAAATATTTCTTTTAGAAAAGTTTTAATTTTCTTAGTGATCTTTTTGATATTTTTATCGTGCTAGATTTTACCACATTTAACTCGCACAAGTGAAATCAATAAGATTATAATACAGACTTTGGATTATAAAGTTATGTTCACCAAGGAGAGCGCTGGCCCTTTCCCCCTATTTTCAAGGGAAATAACAAAAATTTTGTTACCATTGCAAAACAATCGCTTACAAAATTAGTTTCATTATCAGTGCATGTACATTTTTCTGAGTGTATACATTGTGTATGTTTATTATCAATTAAAGTAATAAAAACTTTTGTTGGTTTGTAGCAAAAATATATCGTTAACATTTTATAACCCACAATATTTTATACCGAAAATGCAAGTATGCAATAAAATACTAACCTAAAAGCATTTTTTTATCAAAATTATAGTGAAATTCCGTGTTTAATTTAACATTGACTGTTTACACTAAAATTCCGAGAATTTTAATTGAAATTGTGCAAGCTTTGAAACATTTTTTTAATACGGTAAACTACGTAACAAAACTACAACTTTTAATAATCAGCTGTCAAACGCGTATGTTACGAGAGTTTTTAAAAATAAGTCCGAAAAATGTTAAAAATATCGAGAAAAAAACTTTGTGTTGCTGTAAATATAAATTGTAAATACACATTTCAATTCAGTAAAAATCGTCTAAATTCAAACAGCGTATGCATTATTAAAAAAATTGATTGAGAAAGTATTCACTGCTTCTTTAGCGTATAAGATTTTTAGAAAACTGTTTACTTTAACCGGATTATAAAGAGGTTTATTTTTTAAATAAATACACTGAACGGATTATCTTTGTTGGAGTTTCTGATACAAAGAAGGTATACAAAGAAAAGACAATATCAGTTTTATTTACAGTTCATAAATAAGATTTTAGGCTCTAAAAACTTTATTATAAAATAAAGTACAACACTGACAAAATATGTTTCGTTTAATTTAACATTTCGAGATTTACACAATTTTAAAGATGATTAATATTTGACTTAAACTCACATTTAATGTATTTTTGTAAAATTTCGTTAAAAGTAAAATTATAACTGACGTTTTGTTGCTGCAGCCCTTTAAACCGTATACGACTGACTAATCGGCTTAACCGTTATAAAACGCTCAGCGGAAAATTTTCCACCAAATCGAAATCGGATATACGGTCGTGAAACATATTTAATTTCGCGAATAATTCCGGTTTTGTACAATTTGAAAATCGGGTTATCGCGCTTTGCGACGCGCTGCAGATTACTGCAAAACACTAAAATCCAAAAAAAAATCAACCCCCGCCAAATTGCGACATTAAACCGCAAATGTCCCTTGTTTTTTTTGTTTTCGGGTCGTTTAAAAATGCTGTGTATTTGAAATATTAACATTTTTTGTTCATTTTTGTAATTTGATTAATCACACTCAGCGAGGGTATAATTTAATTAACACTTGAAATATTATAATCTCGAATCAAAATTGCATGCAATGTTTCAGTAATTAATAATTTCCATTCAAACATATTGTTTTAAATCCAAATATTAATTTTGCATCAACATTAATTATTATGTCAATCAAAGTAACAAAAAACTGCATCAAATTAGTTTTGCTGTACATACATAATTAATGTAAAGTATTGTTACAAAACAATGAATGGCCAAGGGGTATAAGTATATTTTATGTATTTTGCGTTTATAATGACTTCATTATAACACCGCTTTCGGTGCTGTAATGAGATACTTTATCCCACCCAAAATTTTGATTTTATAGGTTGGCTATACTTTAAACAGCATAATATTTTACATATTGGTTATAATATTTTTATGATTTTTCTAGTACTTACGAGACTTTTCGCAATAAATTTTTATTCTTTAACATTAACAGCAACTTATTGTAAATAAGTAAATTAACATTAACTGTCAAACCAGTGACTGATACCAACTATCCAAAGTAAAATTCGACCAAACTAAATTTAAGGTATTTTTTTTATAGAATTTTTACAAAATAAATTAAATAGCATAAAGAACTCATGTCATAAGACCTTTTGTCGCACTCGTAATTTGGAATCAAAATTATTTGTTTTTTAAGATGTCTAAGCTTAATTCAGTTATATCCCTTGAATACCAAGTAAAATGTACCATTTACTATCTTTTTCTGTACATAACTACATTTTTTTTAATGTTTATTATATCTCTTGGCTTCTAGGGTCCTTATATAGAATTTTAGCTAGACTTATTCCAAAAATAAAATAACACAAATGGAAATTAAAATTTATATGTTTATATTAAATTTTGTGTATTTAAGCAAGGCAAACATTAAAACGTTGCATATGCCCCGCAAAAATTTCTGGTAGTAAAACCTATGAATCGATACTACCGCAAAATTCCCATAAATTTAAGTAAACAGTCGGTGGTTTTTGTCGCACGACCCCAGATAAAACATAAAATATAAAGGAAAAATGCAAGAAAGCAGTTTTACGAATTTCCCTAAATGATATAGCCAAAAAATAATACGTAGTGAAATTTATTGTAATGGCCCGAAGCCAGCTGCGCTTGTACCCACCACAAAACGATACAAAATTTAGAATGTATACTCGATAGACAGAGGAGACAGCATAAATCCCGAGGATTTAATAAATGTACATTTCCATTGATTTTGGCCTTTGATATTAATGTCTGAACTTTCATTAAGGACAGGAGAGCAAATAAATTCAAGACAAAAGGGGCATTTTAAGATTAAAATCAAATCAAATGTACATTACAGTAAAATATAGTCATTCTAATTTACCCCAATGTGCGAAACCATTACTTGGTAGTAGCATATTTCCGTCCACGTCAAGTTGTTAAAAATAAACAGCTGACTTCAAGAAAGATTCAGCCGCTTCTTCCAAGTACTGACTTCAAAGAAGATTCCCAGAGCTCTGGGACACCCTGTATAGGCACTACCGATTTCAGGATGACTGTTTTTTTATTTTGTGACCCGTACTTTCACCTGGCGCATTAAATCTTACCGTTTTAAGCTCTGGCACTAATCAAAATTATTTAATATGTTTTTATTGAGATAATCAAATAACTTTTTCATTTAGCATTGAAAAAAAATATTCTTAAGGGAACGAAAGTTTAATTCACTTTTTAGCCATTCGTAATTAAATAGATTGAATTGAGCTAAAAAGCTGAAAAGCTTGCAGTTTTCAATGGAATAAAATCACCTCATTTTCCGCCGTTTGACGTTTAGGTAAATTTGATAGAATTTACGTTTAGAAACGTAGTCCATAAATCAGCACTTTGAATTAGTCCGCGACACGGCTGGACGTCCGTATCACGTTGTACTCCATTGTGTGTTATTTATTTATTGGTACGAGGCCTGGCAGCATTCAGCAACAACAATACACTATTTACAACAAACGAGGACATTGCCTATATTTCACGGAAAATAATTATTTCATTCAGGAAAATCAATAAAATCGTTACCAAATTTACAATACATTTTTTATTTTCGAATATTAGGCACCTTTTTTTATTTATTTATTAATTAGTGCCAATATAGATTCTTTTTGTGACCTCTGTAATTTTTAGGGTTGCTGGCAATATTTAAAAAAAATTTTTAATTACAGAGGAAGCAAAAAAAGCTCTTTGAGCGTATATAGTTACCAATTAGTATTTACTAACAGAAAAGCGGTAAATTATAGCTTTTAAGCAAAATTGGAGCGGGTGGACAAAATTACAACGTAGATAAATATTTTTAGAACCCTTAGATAATATGTCATGCATAATTTAAATATTAACGAGATCATTTTTAATGAAAGACGCAAAGGAACCCAAAATTGTTTTTTTTTATATTAATAAATATTCTTCAAACAATTTTTATTAATTCTTTAATGAGAACAAAAGTGATTTCTCAGCTACATACCTTATCTCTGATTTCCTGTCTCATTTTTTCCCTTTCCTCCTCCATTTTTCTGTGTTTTTCCTTTCTTCTCTCCTCAGCCTCCCTGATGGCCTCCTGTCGCTCCCTTTCTGCCTCCTCCTCCTTTTCCTTGTCATCGCTGTCGTCATTGTCACCACCGACTGCCCCTGTAAACAAAAAGTCAAAAATTAGCCACACAAGAATAAATACGTTATTAATTTATATAGATGTAAGGCACTTCAGTCTTTGCAATATTGGTTGCCTACTACTGGCGTAAAGTATAAAACCTATTGTTTCTGACATATATAATTTTTTTTTGATGCCCATAAACAATACTCCTTAACAACATAACTTTTTTTTACAAAACACAACACAATAACTTCATTAAATTCCTTCCGTTGCGATAGCATCGTTTCAAAATAATTACAAAGTTATCGACAGGCACGCAAACAACCAATTACATTGGAAACAATCAAACTGTTAAATCTAAAAACAAAAACAGATAAACGATATTTTTGAACGTAAGCATGTAAAAGGATTACGAACGAGGCGAAAAATAAAATACACACAAATTGCTTATTCTTTTTGCAAGGATAATCGATTGAGTTTAATAAAGTTTTGCTAAGCACGATGTTCGGCAAGATTGAGTTTGGTGTTTTCATAGGACAAGAGGTTTTTATGAATACCAGGGAAAGTAAAAAATCTGCAAAAATAAAAGCAAGTAAACCTATAATTTTCTCATATTTCTTTTTTACATTTTAAGTTATAATTATAATTATGAAAATGTGAAAGTCATCTGCCTAACTCAACATGTTTATACTTATTAAATACAAACAATAGTCTCATGTTCTCATGTTAAAAAAAGAATTTTAGATTTGTTAAGTTTTGCATATTAAATTAAACATTTTACAATATTGAATTACTAATTTAAAAGTATTTGACCGAAAACTTAAAAGAAAGAATTTCAATTCTTGAATCAATATTCAGTTTTATAGAGTTTAAATAAAATTAAACTTTAAAGCAACAAAAATGTTTATTAAACGATTCTACAATATTCATCTTTCAAAATGAATAAACTTCTCAAGGAATACATTTGTTTGCCATTTCAATGCTGTTCAAGTAATAATTACAATTATTGTAAATTTTACAATTATTATTTTAGATTTTTGAAACCTATAATCATAATAAATTATTTAAATGTCACCTTTCCACACAGGTGGATCGGAAGAAGTTGTATAGAATGGCCACCAAGATCACCAGATCTAACACTTTTAGACTTTTTGAACATTTTATTTTTAAATGTTTAAAAACACTATTAAAAATGTTTGTAAAATTACTACATTTTTACTAATACGAATTTGTTGTAATATTACATTTTGTTTTAGCCAAAGTACTAGACAGGTTCCAATTTTACAATGTTTGTGTTTTTGTCAGATACTTATGGTAATTTTACAATTCTGTATTGTATAATTGAATTTAAAATTTTGTAAAATTTCTACATATTCATTTTAATCATATGCACTGTTAAATTTTTTTGTAAAATTACAGTTGTTTTGCAAAACAAAGGAAGAGTAAAATGCATAGTATGCAGCGATTGCGGCAATCACGTGATGTTCTTACATCTCGCCTCGGCTGACTTAGGTGGACAGTACACCAAACTAGGTCTATCTGTCTAGCTGTCTGTCGGTATTTGAAGTTGGTGGAACGCACTTCAAACAAAAACTCTGGCGAGGTGAAGGTTCAACTTTTTTTTTAATCTTTACAGAAATGGGACAAGAAAGTTTCTTGAAGAAACTAAGAAAATTGCAGTTTTTTTTTGTAGTATAATTACAATATCATCATTCGTAAATTACTAAGTGTAATTTGTTGTTCAAAATAACAATATTTGTATTGTAATATTGCGAAACGAATTTTCTTCAGTTCAGTAAAATTGTAGAATATATTTTGTAATTTTCATAAACTGAGTTGAAATAAATTGTATAGTATAATTACAATACACCATTTTAAAATTACTAAACATATTTAGTATTTTTTTTTAGCAAAATTACAAGACCTGTATAGTAATGTTACTTGACAAATTTTTAACAAATGCTTAGTGAATTTCAACAAACGTTTTGTAATGTAGTGAATTTACAAAAGTAAAGAAAAAAAGAGAAATTAATAAACCACGTAAATTTCTTAATTGGAAAAATTTTGTAATTAACTTCCTAACTACCAATAACTTATATTTCCTGATAACGATCGAATTTTTACAAACGACCTGGACATGAAAATATACCCTAGTCACGAATTTTCTCTTGTACAAGTCGAAAGTACTTTTAGGACATAAATAAAAGTTTAGAGCGATATCCATACATTTTAATTTAAATGAAATACAAATGCATAAAAATAAATAAATTATTAAATACGTAGCCATAAATCCTATTAATTTGGCTTAATGGCATACAGAAAAGCCATAAATACAACAAAAACGAGTTATTAACAATTACTCTAATTGATAAATGGTTTATTTTGCGCAATAACGAAATTATAAATAACTAACGAGATTTTTTCGGGACAAATTCGCAGCGATTTGTAGAAAATTGTTAACAGGCTGACACTTTATTAAACTTTTATCATTTAAGGACCAAAAAGTTTCCCTTAGTTCTCAGACTAAAGTTACTGTCTTAACACAACTTAAATCTATAGGTAATTGCATTAAAAGTTTTTGCACTATTTTCCTTCCATACAATAGCATTTATACGTATTTAATACGCAAAATGCATTAAAGTATTAAAGTAATTACGTAAGCGATTAATACAATAATATTATTTAACTTAAATTTAAAATTGTAATGGCTATAAAAAATGTATCACCTAAGGTACCTTCTATTAATGTTTTGTCGTAAAATGTTTATGTTAAATCTATAGTTGTGTGTGAATTGCGCTTAAATAAAGTAATGCGCAGTTGTTATAGTAAAATTTGTTCATTTTACTATGGCATATTTGTCTTTTTTAAATTACTATCGTTGTAATTCAAATTAATTTTATTTCAGTTAGAAAATCTTTGTTAATAGCGTATACGTTAACAATAACAAAATATTTTCTTGATATAAAAACACTTTTTTAATATTTACCATTGTTTTGCAATGGTAATAAAATTTTTGTTATTTCCCTTAAAAAAGAGGGGGAAAGGGCCAGCGCTCTCCTTGGTGAACATAACTTTATAATCCAGAGTCTGTGTTATAATCCTATTGATTTCACTTGTGCGAGTGAAGTGTGGTAAAATCTAGCATGATAAAAATATCAAAAAGATCACTAAGAAAATTAAAATTTCGACGTATTCTAGTAAAAATACCTACTATCACTTGTATACCTACTATCACTTTACCTTTAGAAATATGTTTCTCTACGACTACTTAAGAATAGTAACATTCTAGTGTAATTTTTGATCATAGAAAGGATGTTTTTCTGCAATACAGTGCGAGAATATTCCTACTCTTGTTTAAGAATGGTCACAAGTAACGACATCTCCTGGCTGTTTACTAAACGTAAAAAATTTAAAAATATTTAAATATTACTGTATTATTTATTAATTAAAAAATAATGGCAGTTGTATTATTAAGGTTTAGGCACAAAAAATTAGTTATACTTATTGTTTTTCAAATATACAAATCAAAATTATAATAAATTTGATATTAAAATGATAAACCAGTTACCTACTATACCGGCTTTGAAGTTTTGACAGATTCAAAAAGTTTAAAAAAAGACCTTTCTCGATTTTTATGTAAGAATGTCATATTCTCGCACGCAAAATCGTTGAAGAATGAAGCTCATTCTTAAACGATTTTTGGTAACATTTAGTTTTTAAGTATTGGTACCCCCAAAATGTCAAACTGATTAATAACCTCAAATTCATTACTTTTATTGAAAATGAAGCCTTTATTATTGTTTTGTAATATTAAGTTTGCTCCAACAATGCATTTTAATGCAAAATTTTAAGTTTAATGTAAAAAAGTGCAGTTCAGGTTGTACTTGTGCAGGATAACAAATATTGTCATTTTGTGTTGCCAACTGCCATTTTGCGAGAAAAATCCCCTAACTAACAACGACCACAAAACAATTAAAAAAACCTAAATAAAAGTTAAAATCGAGAAAATAGTATAAATCACACGTTGCAGAAGGCTATTCTGGCACTCATTCGTTCGTCCACTCGCTCCTTCGTCGCTCGAGGCCAAATTTCGAATTCGTGCGAGAATATGTGGCCTTCTGCAACTTGTACTTTAATATACTATTAAAATGTAGAAAAAGAATAGATGTTTACATAGATTACTTGTAAAATTAGTTTTGTATTTGTTACAATGTTATTTTTTTATTAGTTAGTGTAAATAACTATTTTTAATTATAATAAAGATTTAGGCATACCATTTGTTTAAATTTATTATAATTTACATTATAAAATTGTGACGGCACAAAATGGTTTGACAATACAAAAAACTTAAATGTCAAAAATTGCTTGGTTTCTTTTCTGTTTAAAATTATATAAGCGTTACTATTCTTACGTAGTCTTAGAGAAAATAATGTCTGAAACACGTTTGGAATAGCATATTCCACTCTCGTAAAACCGTCACACTCGCCTTCGGCTCGTGTGTCAAATTTTTCCTCGAGCGGAATATGCTGTATTCCAAACTTGTTACAGAATGTACTATTCTTAGTCATTTGCTATCCTTTTGATGCAGAAAAAGTGCTCATATATTTTTGGCCACGTTTTAGGTGAAAATACCTGGCTGTGTGCAGATTTAAATTAGAAACGAAACAAAATTAAAGTTCGATTTGTTCGGCCGTTTCGTCGTGATGCGGCTTATTCGCTGGGGATAGGTTTTCGTAAATTGTCGAGAATTTCTGGCCGACCCATATGGGACCCCGGTCGCGAGATTGAATCCATTTAAATGGTGCATCTGCGATGCCACGACACACAACACACGTACATAATGGAAAACGAGGTTTGCCGCATGCCTGCGGTCACTGGCGGAGCATATGTCCTGCGAGGGTCCTTCCGAATCCAAATCGGAAAGGACACAACAAGCAACGTTTGCCTTTTTTCATCCCACTCTTTTGAAAACGTGTTTCCGGGGATTAAGACTAAAAGGATACGTGTCGTATAAATTATTCTAAGATCCTTTTACTCA